AACCATGATTACTCTCTGATATATAGCTATTTTAAACAATTTATCTGTGAAAGACACTTTTCAGCTTTTACATTTTTAATAGCCTTCTTTATTTCCTCTTGTAAAAGTGAACTCAATTATAAAGTTGAGTCAATATGGGCAGACATTCTTTGAATAAACAGTAATGCATATACTTAAATTATGTATATTAAGATGACACCTCTAACAATAATGGGCTATCTCCTTTGCTATATACTCTTAGGGTGAATCACAGCCCATCTGTGCCTCAGTCTTCCAGCATATGCAATGGAGATAATAAATCATGTGCTGGTTCATGAATTTAATAAAAAAAATCTACTGATTTTGGGGCAGGAATGTGAAGTGTTGCAAATTCGTTGCTACTAATATGAAATTAAAATCTACGGAGTCATTTTGATGCCAACAATTCAAATGTAAACAGTGCACAACAGTTTTACTCTGTATCTCTGAATGCGTAATGACTGTATGGTACAGTATGGTGCTACATGAAATAAGATAATTTAAGTACAGGGAAGGAATAATCTGTTAGCATAAGGAGCAGCCTGAGTTGAAATAATTATCTCCCAGCAATTAAGGCAACTACATTTCTTGCAACTTGTTTTCTCTCCTGACTCTGAAGTTTATGGACATGCTTTATATCTTTCTCTTCATGGTAGTCATTCCAAAATATTATTATTGGGATACCTCCACAGTGCAAGTCTGGAGAGGGCCAGGAACTCTAGTGGAGACCCATCCAGCTGGCTGCTGTGATTAATGGTTAGCTCACTCCCTGGTTCTTTCTTTTCCAGAAGGTCTCTCCCAGACAATAGGTAGGCTTTGTTTTGGAAACAGCCCATTCCGGAGGTAGCACACACCATTTTTTGGCTTTTTCCATCCTTCAGCTCTCTCCGAACATGTGCATTTGGATTTTTGAATATGCAGAGTGCTCACTTCCATGCTCTACAAATGCCACTTTGCTGGGTTACAGTGTAGTCTCTAGATTGGTTCAATACTTTGAACTGAAACATACCCACTGCTAATAATGTCTTAGGTGAGCAGGGCCAGATAATGAGGCCCGAACGCCCTCCATCAGATACTGTGAAGTGTGGATGTGACCAGTTTGCAGTTAGAGGAGGTATTTCTAAGGTGTGTGAGTGTGAGCCAGAAGGTTACCGTCTGTATTGTATTTAGCGGTGCAGAACTTGGTCACTGCGAGTGCTTTTGACCCAATAGGTGGATTGGCTCTGCTCTGTCACTATAGAACAGTTGTCTGTCTTCTGACCTTTGTCTTGGGTCATTTTTTTTTCTCTTATTTTTCTCAATTACTTTTCTTTCCTTGCTCCTACTTTTCTTACCGTTCATACCTTTTCTCCTCCCCACCTTAATCCTCTCATATTTCCTCTTCTCTCTAAGGCAGTTGACCAGTACAGCCTTGATGCTTTGCTGAATCCCCTGGATGGAGATTAAGATGCAAGAACATGGAGTAAAAACACATTTTAAGTTTGCTGCCTGAGTCAACGTGTATTGTGCATATGTATCTGATGTCTGTATTGTCATTTCTAGCTCTGCTAGAAGACGTTAGTAATACAGAGAGGGAAAGCAGATGGCCGTCAATGAGTTATCAGCTATTAAAAAACCCCAACAAAACAAACAGCAGAAGCATTTTCAAACCTGGGGGTAAGATGGAGCTGTTTGATGCCATTTTTCCTATTCCTTCACTACTGCCATTCCCTCCCAAGTACTACAACTATTTTAAAAAAATATTTACACAGAAGCTTTCTGATTAATTCAAGTCTTTCTTCTTTGCATAAGGACAATGAAGATACCTTTTCTAGTGGAGAAAGTGTTTACTGGGGAGTACTTAGCACTTGTATCATTTTTGCACTTAAAAACTTCCAACATGCTTATCCTCCACCTTGTAAGCGCCCTGAAAAGGACAGAATTATGCAACAGGAGATAGCAATACTTTTTTAGCATCAGGTTCAGTGCACTCTCACATTCATCTCTGTTGATCGTGATGTGAACATGTTACTCGGTAATTTGCTTTTCTGAGCAGCCATGACCATTAAGCTCCTGAGGATTTCATGGCCTTGAAGTTAGCAGCTCCTTGGGAGCAGAGCAAAGCAGAGTGTTAATCTGTATAGCAGATTCTATTTCTAAAGTTTTATTTTTGCCATGGCAGAAAGCTAGCAGAATGCTTTTTCCATGGGTGTTTCCTTTGGTTTGGCTACAACAGATTACTGATTAGGGAAGAGCAAATTTCCATTCTTCCGCACATTTGCTGAATGTTCTTTCCTTGCCCAGAGGACCACAGTCATCCACAGACATAGGAATGAACAGGATGAAGTGCGATGGGTCTTGAACTGTTTTTAGATGACAGAAGCTGGCTGTAATTCTACTTTTTTTCTAAGAAGTACTGTTTCAATTTTTGGTGCTTGGCTTTGGAAATGATCAAACAAACAAAAAGCTGACTGTGTTATGTTCATGTCTCTTATATAGAAATATGTTGGAAAGCTACGTAATCTCTTACAGTTTCCATTTAAGAAAATGCAGAAAATACATAATCCCTATATAATCTCTTATATTTCCTATATAAGAAAATAATTCTAAAGAAATGAAATTGGTTTTCTTTTTTCTCATTCCTAGGAGCAAGTGATAGTTCTGGACAGCCAGTCAGTATTTTGGGTAGAAAGCTTTATTTTACTGTTGTTATTTAACTAGGATTTTGCGATTTTATTCATGATTTTGAAAGTTTAGCATGGAAGAGAAAAAGGAGAAAGCCAAAGCAGGAGGACGAGTCCAGGTCACATATTTTGACCTTTGGACATTCTTATCCAGGTATGGCTGAATTCATTGAATTTGCTGGTCAGCAAATTATTACATACCTCAAATAGTCTCTGAATATCAGTTGAGGCTAATAGCTACAGTAAAACTTTGGGTAATTCTGGATTACCTGGAACATCAATAGTGCTAGTGGATGCTCTGAATTTTCTTCATTAATTTGCATGAAAGATGGACCATGAAAAGATCGATCAGTTTTAATATTCAGTGTCTGAAAGATAAGGTATAAAATACAGCATTTGGAGCTGCAAATAAATACAGAATAGTGAAAACTTTACTTTTACCTGCAAATTCATCTTTTTTTTTTTTTTTTTTTTTTTCCCCCTGATGTACTATATATGTAAGAATTCTAATATATATTCTGGCAGAAAACCCATTGATGACAAAATTGTCTCATGTTTTAAATAATGTGGGTGGCAGAAGCAGATAAAAATGATACACTGAAGTGACACTTCCAATAGTTTTAGAAAAAAAATTTGGTAATGTATATTTCATTAAACTGTATATTTTATTCCATGTGGAAAGTTAGTCTGCTTTGTCTGACCAGTGGTTGATAGGTGATTTCTTGGATATTTGTCTGTATGAATGCACAATGTGTAGCTGTGTTATATTAATTTTATAAGCATACTACATTTATTATCTGTGATTAAAACTTAACCATAAATTACAAAATAACTATGCAAATGGTTTGTTTTGCCCAGAAAGAAAAAACATATCCTTTGTATGCAGCTAGGAAAAGGATATGTGTGGAAGAGTTCTTAAGCACTCCATAGCCTTATAACCTTAGAAAGATTAGATGAAAATTCATATACTGCATTCAAAACCTGAGGCTGCATTCACCCTTTGTCCCACTTGCACTTGTCCACTGAAAGCTCTTAGCTCAGATGTGTGCAGGTTAAGTGTGTGTGCATGTAAGAGCTTGGAGATGGGGATACTGAAGCTGAGGTTAATCTTGCCAGATTTTAGTCATCTGAAAGATGACTAAGTTTAAGACATGTGTCTAGGCTCCTTTGAGAATTAATGACTTGAAACAGGTACAGGATGAGAGTGGTTCATCCAGAGTGGTACATCCAGAGGTTAATTGGCTAAGAGAGGCCGATAAATTAACTAGAGAGAGAACAATTAGCTGTTATCTAAAGTTAGGTGACATGAAAGCCTTTCTGTCGTCAGCTCTTCTGCGTGTGAACGGCTTTGACAAATTGTGGTTTAATACATCTCTCTCTTCTTCCCATTGTCCGTGCATGATGTTTGGACAATGCTGCATATAGGTATATTTGAATCTTTATAGGAGTCATATACATATAACAACACAAGCCATATATGCACTTCCAAAGTCTCAGAATTTCTGAATTACGTGTACCACCCCAGTGATGCCTAGCTTCTTCCACTGTGGACTCGAGTGTATTTGTGGGTGGTATTATCAGATTGTTCTGTGTTCTGCAATCTCAAGGCAGGATTAAATTTGTTCCTGACCTCTAAGGAGAAAGATAACAGCAATTTGGGATGGGCTCTGAATTCTGAAATATTTTCTGCAAAAGGAACAGAGATGTACTTACTGGAATTTATAAACACACATAATTTTTTACAAGTCACTCCAATAGGTACATTTTATTGTGGTAATGAGCTGTGCTAATTTAGAGCTTGTTTTTATAATAGTATCACCTTACATTAATTAGCATAGGGCAAATGCAACTGTATTACTGTGTCAAAAGCTATGTATCTCTGTGAGAAAATATTCCACTGAAGACCATATTCCATATGCACTATATATTTCAAATACTAGCAATGAACTGCTACTCAGACTATGCATTACTAATAGTGCAAATAAAGGTATTAAATCCAAAATATGGTAGAAATGCAGAGTCTTATAGGATAACGATGAACAAGAATTTAAAAGGAAAATGTGACTACAGAACTGTTTGCCATTTCACAAGCCTAAACCTTTGTGTTAGTACACGCAGTTGCTATCAAAGTAATTTTAAACCAGGCCAGTCCTTTTAGATTAAATTAAAGCTGTATGAGTAGTCATCAGAATAAAATAAATTTATACCAGTCACACTCAGAGGGATTGTTCTTAAACACTGAAGAATATACAGTGATGGAAAAATATGCATTGCTTAGTGCTTTGTTTAACATGTTTGCTTTTTTCCTTACAGTACAATGCTGTGGACACAAATCCTTTATCTGTGTATATTATGCAGCCTATCTGGAACAAAATTATGAAGGTAAGAATTTTATTTAATAGAAACATCACATGATGATGTAAGATTTTATTTATTTTTTTTAAATACGACATGTATTTTCATTTAAAAATACAAAGTGATCAGTAAAGCTGAAATTAAGATATTTGTATATGAGAAACATGTTTTGGGATATATAGCTGTATTTGAGTATGTTTGGATTTTGAGGCAGGTTTTTTATTACAAAAACAAGGTTTGGGTTTTTTTTTCTGATTGCTATACAAAAAGAATCTGTTTCCTTTTTACATCTTTCATTAAACAGCTTTGCAGGTATCGAGGGCTTTCCTGCATACAAATTATTCTTGTGCAACATATGCCACCTAACAGCAGCCTGGCTTTCTCTCTGTGCCGTGCACATGATTTTATGCAAGTGCTGTCTCATTTTCTCCCAAGGGTACTTGCTCAGAGGAGCTAGACATTTCTTTAAGAAGCTGAGAACGAGAGCGGTTACCATGATCACCATAACGATTGGAAGACGGCATCTCCTGAATGCATTATGATCTGCAGTTTTTAAAAATAAAACAGCTCGCAATCAGTTTTGATGTTGTTGGCAAAAAACCCCCAACAACTTTGTCTGAAATAAATATGAACTTATTGATCTCTGAGGAAGCAATGACTTCTGCATCTGCCATGTTAGAGGAAATCTTTAAATTGCAGCAGGCTTGAAAACAAACCTATATACAAACAAAAAGGATGTGTGTGGTCAGAGTGCTGTTGGACCTGCTGTCCTTGGGTTCTATAACTCAGGTATTGTTTATGCTTGATATAGCAGGAAAATCAATCTCTTGCTCATAACCTCAATGTAATTTCATGAAAAGTGTTTATATGACCTAACTTAAGAATTAAAAAATAACCCGCATAAGGTATGGGAGAAAAGCAATTCAAAGATGAGAAACTGAATTCAACAATTCAGTTAAGAGGCTCTGTTTTCTTTCCCATTATAATATTGAGAAAACCATGAAGCAGAAAAGCCCCCTCAGCACTCTGGAGTCTGGCACAGTAGGTGATCAGAGGCTGTACTGTATGCTAGCACTTTGGTTTAGGAAATCCATGGATATTTATCCACTGTCAAATTCAAGGGAGAATATTATCAGCTAAAAACTTCCTTTGGAAGTTAAGTTCTTTGAATGGTTGCAGGGTTTCTCCAGAAGAAAAGCAACATTCTTGACTGTCCCCATGTAGCATAGGGTGATAGATTCTAAAAAAAATGTGGCCTCTTTAGATTTTTTTAAACCTCCTTAAATTTTAGGTGAACGTGATTTTGTTCACTTCTTGCTGGAAGAGAACCTAAACCAGAGCACAGGACTGAAAACCTATTCCAAAAGCTGGGAGATCTGAGCACAGAACCAAAGACTGGAGTGGGTGCTGTCTGTACTTAAATATTTGGTTTGGTTTGAACCCTGAAGATAGAGCAATGAACATTCTGCTTTGCCTTCTGGTGCAAGAGCAGCATTGCAGGATAATTCTCAGTGATTATCACAAGGATTTAGAGGGAAATTATATTGCTTTCAGTTTTTGTAGAAGTAGTCATTCTAACATGAAAAATACTGCCAGGTAAAATTAGACTCCTGCAGAGGAGCTGGGAATGCACAGCTGCAGAGGGGAAAGCATATGTAATGGAGATTGCAGTAGAGTCATCTTAATTGCTCCTAAAAATCAGAACTGGGAGAGCACATATGAATTGATTAGCTTTTAGTTTCTAATCTGGTGAAAATAAACATTCCACAGGGACTGTTTTTACCAGATTCTAGAGGCATTAAAAGTAAAACATTCTAAAATTCACAGAACCAGTCAAACAAACAAACGAACAAATCTATGAGAACAGAGGCTTGGGGTTTGGTTCTGGCCTTTCATCTGTCAGTTTAGTCCTATTTGCAACACAAGTTTGTCTGTGTTCCACAACAGAATTCATTGGAAAGTATGTCTTCTATGTATGAGACATTATCATTCATTGTAAGATGTATTTTCTATGTTATAAGAAGAGCCTGACATTAGAGATGATAAGGGAATTTATGAGTTGGGATGTTGACATAACAAGAACTGAAAACATGTCATAACCCAGCTCATTTACCTGTGGTGGGGATGCTAGGAAAGCAAAGAATTTGTGCATTTAAGTTAGAAATATGCCTGAAAATCTCGAGCATCACCTTCCTCCCTTTCCTCTTCCAAGACATCTTTCTTATGCACTGTATCCTGTGCTTGTGTCAGTTTCAGTGTGGTTTTTGGATGTATGTGGTTCAGAAATGTGTTGAATCTGATGCTAAAGCAGAAAGTGAAAGGTAGAGTTTAATGCCTGGATTCTATAATGGGCTTGAAGTACTCTGAGATACTCCTGTCCATGGCAGCTTTTCCACATTTTATGAAACTATACACCTATATGAAACTACAGAGTAACAATTAAATTTCTCTACATGTTTAAAATTATTCTGATTTTGCAATTGTAGGTATTTTGTCTTTTATTAATTCAGTGCTCTGTCCTTTTTCCTTTAATTAAAATATTGTATTTTTTAGTAAAGCACAGTCATGTGGTCTCTGACACTAATAGATAGTATTACTTAGCTACTACATGAACTGAATATTCCTCCTCTGTTTGTATTCATGGGGAATCACATTTGTGCAGGACAATGAGAGGAAAAGGAGGAAATCCCACTGGGATACACAGGTGTGTGCCAGCTTCACTGAAGTCAATTACTTCCCCCTCTGTTGCCTTTATAATCTTCGATTTTATCACTAGAATTGGGCATGAACCGAATTTTAGTGGTTTCAAGTGACTTAGTTAAGGGGTATTTCAAGTTTGAGCAGAGCTTTACGTAGGTGTGTGTACTATTTGTTATTCAAATAGACAGTTGATACATTAAAACATTTGCTGTTTGTGTTAAGGCTTTTAGCATGAACGGCCATAGGCCCTTTAAAACAAAATGAGTATTTCATGGAACTTAAAGTTCCACAAGAACTTTAAATGGAACTTAAAATGTTTCTGCAAGACACCAGATGTGATTCTCCCCAGAGGCATCTCCAGTTGTATTAATCATGTAGCGCATTGATGTATTAGACTCCTACTGTCTGTTAATTAGATATTAAAAATTGCAAGATATCATTCTATAGGATACTAGTAAATTCAGGCTGTATTTTTCCAATGTATGTAAAAGTTAGTCTTTAACACCCTGTAATTTTTCAATTGTGAAATAGGCTGATGGAAGTATAATACCAACCAAAAGAATAAGGGGCATTAAATGTAACAAAATGGATTCTGCAACTGGCATACTTTCCAGATACCTTCCAAATACCTAGTCAGATTAGGTTCATTAAGGATCAAAAGAATGTGCTTAGGGGTTTAACTGCAGGAGAGACTGTTTTCCTGAGGATAGATCTCCTGTAACTGTTTTCCACGGTGTGTCTACTAGCCAAAGGGATTGTAAGTATCCTTTGATGGTTTCCTTCTTAAAATACATGATGTTAGCAAGAAAGTGGGTTAAAGTAACTTCTTCATGTTTGCACTGTGTAAGCATAAATTTATTTCCTTTAACAACTTAATAATGACATTGTGACTACTTAGAATGATGAGCCTAATTAGAAGGCAGACACTTATGGTGCCCCACTTTATTTAATAGTCAACAATTATTATGAATCATACAGGAGAAATCAGTCATTTTAAAACAATATATTGGATGGCTTCTGTATATCCATGTAAAAGACTCATCCACAGGTTGTCTTAACGCACTGTTTTGGTCTACGTCTTAGCTTAAAAGAGACTGATCTGTGATTCCTTCAGTGTCTGTCCTTATTTCATATAAGGTCATAGACATCAGATAAATTCCACAGCAGGCAATTCATACCAAGCCTCCATTTTACAAGGTTTCTGCATCCGCTGGTAGCAAAATTAGGAGGTGTGCTGCTGTTGCTGCACGCTGAACATGCAGCCACTGTAAGAAGAGGGGACCATGCAGTGAAGGATTCCTCCTGAGATGTTCTCCTAAAGGAGCTTCAGGAAACGTTTGCTGTCACTTTTTCTTAGGGATTTAGAATTGGGCTTTTGAAGACTCAGAATGATAGATACGTGAATTTAATTGTAGCTCTATGTGTTCCATTATGTATTTTAAATACTACAAAAGCTGACGTACAGTATCTTTAAATCAGTGATAAAATCCTATTCATAAGGAAAGGGACTATCACATTTAATATTTTTCCCAATGTTATTAAAAAAATATAAAGAAATGTAACTGAAAAATATTGAGGAATTTTCATGTGAATTTTGAACGTTTACACTGTACAACATCAGTTGCACCATTTTTCTTGAATATTATTTCTTGTTCTATAGTAGAAAAGAGGATCTAGTCAGGATAATCAGTCCAAGCATTCAGATTTATATGCAAATTTTTCATGTAGCAATAGGATAGAGGAAATGTAAATATGTATACAAAATGATATATATTCATGTCTGTCCATCTGACTAGTCCAAAGAAATTAACAAAACATTTGATTTCAAAACTATTATTAGTATCTGAAATGATTTAACTTTTTTCTTTAATATTGTTTTGTAATATTTTATAGTGTTGAAGTACTTTATGTATATTTTCAATCCTTAGACGCTCAGAAGAATTTAATTATAAGTCTCCAATATTTATATGGCTTGAATATATTGATACTGAATTTGAATGATGGTAGTGATTGATACTTGTATTTCTGCAAGTATTTTCTGTCTAAAAATCATGTAGGAAGCTGTGTATGTTGCTTCTGAAAATATTCTGGAGAAAGTGTGTTGCTTGGGAAGAGCATTATCAAAAAGGATCCCTGTTGCAGCATAAGGAATACCTCGAAGCTGCAGGGGATGAATAGCTGAGAACAGTTAATGGGGCAAAGAATTAGAGGCTTAGGCGAAGTCAGAGAGTCCTTTTCAGCACTCTAATGAGTTAATGGAGTAAAATGAATTAATGGAGTGTTTATAATTTATGACTAAAGAGGGAGACCCTGCAGAAAGTTACTGTCCAGAGAAGTAGGGAACTGCTTTGAACAAGGAGATCTTCTGAGCCTGAAAGAGTAATGCACTCCGTGCCTGACTTTGTTGATGTTTTGAGTTGGAAATTATTGACTTATTTTAGAGGAGGAAATTCCCTTGTTGTTGCGTGGGAATAGAATGCTTAAGAAATCTGCCAGGTGAACGCTGAATTACCACACTGGGGTGCTGCAGCCTTCTTTCGGTTGTGATACGCATAATCATGAGTAGCTTTCCTTGGTGGCTGGGAAAATAAGGATAATGTATAACATAGGATAAGCAACATTTTAAAATGACATTTTTTCTGCAGTCACAAAAATCAGAACATCACATTTGAAAATAAATTTCAGGAATGAAAACTGTATTTTAATTTGAAAATGGGAAAATACGCACAAATAACATTGCTGATATTATCTACAGGCTTCTCCTTTCCTGATAAAAAATAGAAAATACTTAATTAAAGTAGGACTTACAATTTGAAATAGAATTTTTCTTACATTTTTTTCTTTCTTTTTTTAACAGATAGTGCCTTTGTGGATCGCTCCCAATGTGTTAACATTCTCTGGATTTGTCATGATTTTAGTGAATTATTTTCTAATATCTTCCTATGACTGGGACTATACTGCCTCAGGTAAATATCCTCATGTTGTATGATTAGTGAGTTGCTTATGTCATACTTGTGAATTATACAGGGAAGTATCAGATACTTGAATCTTCCACTCATTCCCTTAATGAGGCTCCATGTGCATATAGGAGGATCTGACCTCACACATGGCATTGTAAATTTAGATCATTTTATTGAAAAATGTTGTTTAATTTCCTCCCTAAATATGGGTTTCAGCATGTGCTGCTCGAAGTCTATGATAATATCTCATTTTATTTAAAGTGTATTTCAGGATTTAAATATACAGCCAAAACCAACCCTAATGTTCTTCATAAAAATCTAATGGGTTTCACATTTCCTAATACCTAAATGGGTGCCTGAACAAGTTAATTTCCCTTTTGTTACTCCACCTCTCATTTGAGGCTGCTTCTAGAGAAAGAAGAAACAGTTTCTAAACAAATGTCTCTTGAAATGATGACTTTCAAAGTCCAAGTCCATATTTGCTCCTTGTGGCAGACCAAGTCAAAAGCTTTTTGGAGCAGATTGCTCCTGAGAGCAGGGCACATACAGTTCTGGACTTCTTAGACAAGCTTGGAGCCTACAGAAAGTAGTAAGCATCTCCCGGGTGATTTATACATAAAAAGCTCTGCTTTTTAAACTAGGCAATTTGGTGAAGACCCAACACTTTTATTTCCTGAAACCATTATGTTTGGGTTTTGGGGTTTTTTGCTGTCTTTCTTACGCCTGTGGTTAGGTTCAGGAGGTACCCTTTGGGGTGAGCTGTTTGTACATTTATCACAACAATTCCAGAGGCAAGGATACTTATTAGCAGTTTTGGTTCAAAAATAATCCTGTGTGAGCATTAAGTTTTCAGTACCAGCATATTATTTAGTTATTTGGCATCCTCCTTATACTTCTTTTTTTTTTTCGGTTTTTGCCAATGCAGCTGATATTTACCAAGTTCTGTAACAAAAGAGCATCCAGCACAGATCTTCTAATGGCATAATTTTACCCTGACACATTCCCAGTAGACACACATTGAACTTGAAGACATTTAAAATGGCGATTAAGTCTGTTAGAGTTGGGACCTCTGTGTGTACTTTGCAAGCCCCTTCTCCATTTCACATGAGAACAGCGCCCATCATTTCTCAATTGATTGAAACCGTTCATGCAACCTAATGAGCCTTTTGAGTATCATATATCAATCCCATACCTAGGATCAGAAATAAAGGACTTCATTTCCTGGACAGCTGGTTTTCATTCTACAGTTTGCAAATTTGCAGCTAGGATTCAGAACTTACCATCTTTTCTTTCAGAGTGGCAAGATGAGGCAGTGGTCAGGGCACTGCTTTAGGTACTGGCATCTCCCTGACCAGCAAGGGCACACCTCTGTGTGCAAGCATTCCCTGTGTGCAAGCATTCCAGGTGCTGAATGCCAGAACCCTGAGAGGGCTTTTCACTTACTAACAGTTGTTTAGTGCTGGTGTAGTCCTTGCTGGATCATATTTAAGTTAAATAGAATACATTTTGGAAAAAGGATTGGTTCCTTTTAAAAAGCAATGATAAACTTGCGCTATTGCTATCAGCAGAGTTATAACAAAGCCCTGATTCTGTCCAATTCAACTTTCTTTTTCTTTTTTTTTTTTTCCAAGGGAAAAAAAGGGAGGTGCTAATATCTGTCCTAGTCAAAGCACAAAGGTTTCCTGTTCAGATCTGTATGGTAAAAGGGCTACACAAACCGCACATTGGCACTAATAGTAATGATCATTCTTGAAAAGTACATTTTTTGTCTCCTTTAAATATTACATTAACTCATTTGTAGATAGATAATCTTCCCATGACTGCGAAAGCTTTTGCCTAATTACTGTCATTGTTTTGTGCAATACCAGAATCATTTCAAAACCAAATCCCTTCTACCTTCTGTCCTTTATGGTGTAAACACATTCAAACCTGCTCACTGCTTCTTTGATAGAGCTTACTGGTGAGTTAAGGTCAAAACTGACTGTTTCAATCTGTTTAATGTAGTGGCAGCTTGTTCATATGTATATGCATATCTCAGTGGATTTCTTTGCTGTTAACCACAGTTACACTGACTCACTACTGGATTTATTTCAGGTACCAGTCCTGGACTTGTTCCCACCTGGGTGTGGCTGTTCAGTGCTTTTACCACCTTTTGTGCTTATGCTTTAGGTAAAGTACAATGAAATAATTTACATGTCTGGCATCTTCATATAGTTTTATCTACTAGTGCACTGCTGCTGATGTTGAGATGAAAAGGCATCGTGGGTAAATTAATATAATTATATATTAGAGGTTCTGTAACTGTAGCTCTTATCCCTCTTGAAAGTTCAAATTGTTTTAGAGGAACAATGGAAATCTTTATGTTGCAGTAGTCACTGGTGTTTGGCTTCATAAAAATCTTTGGCTCCCGCTGATGACATTCTGAGAAGCTTCCTGAGACCTGCATTAACAGAGGGTGTTTCCAAAGACAGGGAAAATAAAGAGTAACGCAGAGAAAAAGGAAAACGAGTGTAGCACTGTGTTTTAAAGTGTTAGGCGGTTCAATGCTTAGGGGGTGTGTCAGGAGAGATGGTATGAATGTGGTGACAGGCCTGAGCTTCCTGTGGAGATGAAGTGTCTTTTTTTTTAATTTCCTGCTGCTGTTTTTCTCCCTCATAACACCTACACCTCAGTTTCAGCCTCCTGTTCCATTTTTACTTTTTATATCACACTGTGGCTGCATTTTTAGGTACATTGCACCTTGCTGTGCAGTGGTGTGAAGACGTAGATCTGAGCTGATGCAGATGTGGGAGTGAGATCCACATTGGCATGGCCTTTTTGCTTTCCCTCATTCCAAACTAGTCTCTCCGCAATGTGGTGCAGCAGAGTTTATTTTTTGTTGGTCTCAAGGTAGTATAGTTACATGGGCTGCACTGTGCTATGTAAATGTACCCTTTCTTTGGAGCTGGTTCTTACAAGGCCCTGCACCGCAGTGTGTAGCCATATGGTTTTGTGCCAAAGTTAAGATACCCAGGCTAGATATTTATGTGTTCTAGATGTACACTGCAGTGTTGTGCAAAGATGCTGGCCATTTCTGGTGTCAGACCCATGCATGTAGAGCCATCTTGATTAACCTGGGAGTATCCCCTTGTGCAGACACCTCCCTCTGCATTGTAAATGCCTTGGCATTTCTGTTCAAGTGGCAAGTTTGTGCCAAAATTATTTTGTTCAGAATTGCTTTGTATTTATACCATAAAAATCACTGGAAGTCCCTCGAGTCTGACTACCAGTCAGATTTCCCTAACAGCTCTCCATAATCATTAGCAGAAGCAGCAGTTTCTTTTGTGAAAACAATTCTTTATGTAATTGTATAGAATTTAATGAAGTGGCTATTGTTTCATAAATAGGAATTACAAATCGGAGCTGTTAGTTTATGACACCACTGAAAGCTTATTGGAAATTCAGCTTCTGAGATTCTTAATGTACGTTATTTGCCAGTGAGGCCTATAGTTCCTAATACTTGGAAGACAAGGAATATGATGTTGACAGTCAAAGCTATAATGAACTGATGTACATGTAGATTTTATGTCTGCTGTCCAAGCCACTTCATAAAATATTTAGTCTCAGATTTAATTCTGCATGGCCAAAGTTTTCCTTTTGGATGACTGCAAAGAGCCATAATAACTAACCAAATATGTAGCTTTAATCTCTCTCAGCTTCTTTTTAATGACACAGTTACTCTCTCCAAATTCCCTAGTATGCTGCTCTTTTTATTCCCCTTTGTTAAGGTGGTTTGGTATCTTTTCCCTTTCCGTAAAATGGAGTACTCTTTGCTGTTATTTTGAATTCCACTATTTAAAAGTTATATAAACTTTTATAAAACTGAAGATTTATAAACCTTTATGAGACAAAACTGTAATATAAGAATTCCAAAGCAATGGAAGTGTGACACAGGGTATGTCCACTATTGAACATACAGTGTTGTTGGTGTGAATGATTTAAAACTGAAACCTAAACCAGAAAGTATTTTCAGTCTCTTAAAAAACTAGTTAAACCACATGAAAAATGTGGGTAAAGATTTGTGAAAATCCAATTTTACATATGCATTATACAGTTCCCATATTTTTCTCCATGCTCATTGTAATTAGAAGTACTGTAATTTATGACACAATTATAAACCTAACTTTTATTAGTAAAACTAAAATTCCTGCAAAATGAAAACCACTCTTTCACTGTGATGTACGTATTTCAGTATCTAATACGAATATTCTTTTGGGACAACATAATATACGAACAGACAAATCTTCTATCATTCTCATTTTTAAAAAGTATTGTGCCTATAAATGAATTCTCTCCAATTTGAGTAGATGTTCTTGAAATATAAAAGACCATAAACTGTTTAGGTATATTTACATACCTATTTGGCACAGTCCTTTAACAGACTAAAGAATTTCTACTTTTGTAGCAACACTATTCAAGTAATCTCAAATTTATACAGTTTTCTTTCTGTGCATTTCAGTAAGATGCCAACAATTCATATTTGAAATCCTCTATGAGATCTGTAATTTTTAGAGTGGTAAGAACTGTCTCAAGAGATTTGTATTTGAGAGGAGGAGATCTCACAGCTGTTTAAGTATTCGAATAGGGAGATAGTCTAAAATCTGTACAGAACGAAATCCCATGTTTTCCTGGTTTAGATCCCTGAAGTATATTTACTTTAAACAAAACTCAGAATACTGCCAAATAATCTGGAGAAGTAAGTAACATATGATCTATAGCAGCTGCGGAATCTTTGGTCTCACTCTGCTGAGCTGTATCTCTAGTCAGTTTTGGGTTACTAATGATCAATAGCTAATAATTATTAGCTACAGTACCTTCCAAGTAACATTAAAAAGAAAAACAAAAGTCTCCATGTTATTTTGAGATTCAGGGTAACAATAAGTAATCTGTAAGGCTTGTTCTGTGTAATTTTTCCTAAGAGATTCATCCTGTATATTCACACTTCACTTCAAGGAAATGTTTCTATTTCTCACCAGCACAGGCTCAGAGAAGAGATTAAGGGTATGGTTTGGCAATACAACTAAGAAAGGTTACAGCTGCTAGACCCCCTTCCTCCTCCTCCCTGCGTTCGCAGCCCCTCCCTTGTGCCACGTCCCTTCCTTTTTGTACCATTCACAGTGCCAGTTCTGCTCAGTGACCCAGAAGAAAATGCAGTATTTGTTGTCTTTCCACCAGCTGAGCAGGCTGAGAGTTCAACAGCAGTGAACTCTCAGATCGACTCAAACTGTATTGTCCAGCTGCATCCTCAGATTGAGATCCGGTAGAGCGTTTGGGCATCTTTCAAGAACTTTAAGTGACCAACACAAAAGTCACCTTAACAATAAGGTATTTGTAGAATTGTAGAATCATCTAGGTTAGAAAAGACCTTTAATATCATCAAGTCCAGCCATTAACCCAACACTGCCAAGTCCACTATTAAACCGTTCTCCTAAGTGCCACATCTACAGGTCTTTTAAATACCTTCAGGGATGGTGACTCCACCACTGCCCTGGGCAGCCTGTTCCAGTGGCTGACTACCCTTTTAGTGAAGAAGTTTTCCCTAATAGCCAATCTAAACCTCCCCTGGCACAGCTTGAAGCTGCTGCCTCTTGTCTTATCGCTTGTTATGTGGGAGAAGAGACTGACCCTGATCTCATACAGCTTCCTTTCAGGTAGTTCTAGAGAGCAATAACGTTTACATGAGCCTTCTTTTCTCCCCAGTTTCTTCAGCCATTCCTCATCAAACTTGTTCTCCAGAGCCTTCACCAGCTTCGTTGCCATTCTTTGGCCCCTCTCCAGCACCTCAGTGTTTATCTTGTAGTGAGGGGCCCAAAGCTGAACATGGTATTTGGGGTGTGACCTCAGCAGTGCTGAGTACAGGGGGATGATCACCACCCTAGTTCTGCTGGCCACGCTATTTCTGATGCAAGCCAGAATGCTATTAGCCTTCTTGGCCACCTGGGCATACTGCTGGCTCTTGTATCCTAAGATTTCAACCAAAAGACTCTTTAAAACATCTTACGTAGGTACACACACAAATACATTTTGTGACATTTGGTCCTTGAAGGTCCCACGGAACAGTTAGTCATTGGGGCATTTAGCATCAGACAACCTAAATGCCTTAGTGATTCTACTCAATAAGTGGTCTGAAGTCTCAGAGAGTCCACAACACCAGTGGATGGGCAAAAGGTCCTATGGACACTTTTCAGGGGTTTCATTGAGAAACTGATTGTAGGCACTGACATGAAAGTGTTTAAAGGCCACTGGGGACAAATAATTATGAATGTCTTTCTAAAGCTCATAATGAAGGTGGCATTTAGTTTAAGAGCTGAGGTAAGGACAGAAGAATTATATGATAATTGAAGCAAATGTTTTACAAGCAATCCTAAAATGTTGGTATTGAAGCCACTGTTGTGCTTCAGTTTTCTGTCTTTCATGTTTTTTTCCCATATGTTGTATGTGGCAGTAGTGAAGTGTATGTGAAGGAAGTTACTCTTTTTGTTGTGCTCTAATTCTTTATTTCTTTTCCTTTCCCAATCCTTCTAGACTCCATAGATGGGAAACATGCTCGAAGGACTCAGTCCAGTACTCCTCTGGGAGAGTTATTTGACCACGGGCTGGATAGCTGGGCTACCTCCATTTTTGTGCTTTCTTTTTTTTCTGTCTGTTCCCGGGACAATGGGAAGAGTGGAATTTCTGTATATACAATGTATATATATTTAAGCATTGTCTTGTTTAACTTTATGTGTTCACACTGGGAGAAATATAACACAGGAGTTCTTTTCCTTCCTTGGGGATACGATATAAGCCAAGTGGTAAGTATTTATCATTCCT